AATTAATTAATGCTTGCCCCCTGAAGAAATACCTAAAGCTGCCTTTGAAGATCTCAGTGCTCTTAAACAGTGATTTCGTACCAATGATTGCATGTCTGAGTTCTTTAGAACAGACTTTTAGGCACTAAAGCCTGAAGAGTGTACCAGGTAAATTTCCCTTTAAAGGGCTTTGGGAACTGTATTACGCTAAGCAAAATAAGTCAGTCAGAGAAAGACAAGTCCCATATCATCTCACTCATAAGTGGAATATAAGAAACAAAACAGATGAACACATGGGAAAGGGGCGGGGAGAAGGAAAAAAACCATAAGAGAATCTTAACCATAGAGAATGAACTGAGGGTTGAGAGAGAAGTGGGTGGGGGATGGGCTAGAAGGGGGACGGGTATTAAGGAGGGCACTTGTTATGATGAGCACTGAGTATGTGAGTGATGAAACACTGAATTCTACTCCTGAAACCAGTATTACACTGTACGTTAACTAACTAGAATTTGAATAAAAATTTGAAAAAAAAAAAATAGAAGGGCTTGGGAAAAGTTGTCTGCATTTTTACTAAGGTGAGGGACTTTGGTTCAGAGGACACTGGCTCCAAGAGCTTTAGATCCAGAAAGTATGGGTTGGAACAAGGGGAGATCCAGGTTTTGGGGGGTCTTTATGTTAGTTTCCTAGGGCTGTTATAAAAAAGTATCTCAAACCGAGTGGCTTAAAACAACAAATGTACTGTTTTACAATTGGAGGCTAGAAGTCCAAAATCAAGTTGTAGGCATGGTCATGCCCTCTCTGACAGCCCCAGAGGAGAATTTTCCTTGCTTCTTCTAGCTTCTGGTATCTGCTGGCAATCCTTGGTATTCCTTTGCTTATAGACACGTCCCTCTAGTCATGTGCCTGTCTTCACCCTGTGTCTCCACATCCACTTCCTTCTGTGTAAACCTGTCTCTATGTCCAAATTTCCCCTTATCACGAGACACCAGTCCTACTGAATTAGGGCCCACCCTAATGACCGAATTTTAACTTGATTACCTCTATAAAGATCCTATTTCCAATTAAGGTCGAATTCTGAAGTACTAAGTGTTTGGACTTCAACATTTCTCTTTGTTTGCCCACAATTAAACTAATAATGAGCCTGAATTTATACAACTTAAATGGTCCTCTTAACTATTAAAAATATAGGGACACCTGCCTGGCTCAGTTGGAAGAGCAGACAACTCTTGATCTTGGGGTTGTGAGTTCAAGCCCACGTTGGGTGTGGAGATTACTTAAAAATAAAAGTCTTTAAAAAAAAAGATTAAAAATACAGAACGACAAATACCTAATTAGGCCTTGGAAGGAGCTTGTATGAATAAGAAGTTTCACGGTACAACCTCTTCCGGTTTACAACATTAGAGTAGCTGTTGGTGGGTATGAATTTGACTGCAAACAAGTTACATTATACCCACATTTAACTCATAGGAACTTACCTGTACCTGTGTAGGCCCACAGGAAAGAGAGGGAGAGGCTACTCATTGTTCTTCTTCCTGAACCTATGCCCTGGAGGAAGATGTGAAGCTCAGAGAGGAGACTCTGGCTGTGAAAAGTGTAAGTCTATTGTTCGAAGATTGCTGTCGTGTACATGACCCTGAACGCCAGTCAGTGACTTCATTTGGTGCTCAAATGAAGAAAGAGCAGTGGAAGATAGTCCGGAGTTTGGCTTCTTTTGCCTCATATCCTGAGTTTAGAACCCAAACCTCTATTTGAGATGTGGCCCATGTTCCTCTTTGGCTCAAGCTTAACTCAACATGGTCTCTTTCTGAATTTCTCCTATGTACTATAGCTGGTAAAGTACAAGTAGGAGGTGGAGGCGGTGGGTCACCAGAATGAAAAAGGGAGCCAGGCCCGGGGCATCAACTTAGTCCCTGCCAGCTAGAGAAGATGGGAATTGATCAAAAAAGGGAGTATTGCTCACTGACATTTTGCTAGCTTCTGGATAGGAGCATCCTGATGTACCGGCTGTCAGAATGAACGGAACTGGCCCTTCATCAGCCATTGATAGAGATGGGTGCAGCAGGAGACTGGACTCTGATGCAAGGCTTGAGAGGGCACTGCTCTGACTCAGAGGAGTGTTTCTGTAATAGTCTTTAATAGTCCAGTGAGGCATAGATACTTGTTGGGGAAAAAATGAGGAATAAAATCTTCTGCCAACCCAGAAAATCCTCTCCGCAAGTGTAGAAAAGACAGAACACAGTTTTATCATTGGATACACATTAAACCAGACTGCAATTAGGACACAGGCATTCCTTTAATGAGACTGCAAAAAGAGAAAAAAACCTCACCCTTTTCTATAGACAAACACATATACTACGTAGATTACATATTCCCAAGATAAATGGTAACCAGTGGTTATGTAAGGAGGACTTGGCAGTACCATTTGTTATACATTCTTTCTTAGTTCTTTCTAAATTCATTTGGTAATGGGCATGGCCAACTTGTGTCAGTTATTTGCCATTGTTTGAAAGAAAAACAAACTTTTTAAAAAAGATTTTATGTATTCGTTAGAGAGAGAGACAGAGCACGTGTGTGCACAAGCAGGGGGAGCGGGAAGCAAAAGGAGAGGGAGAAGCAGGCTCCCCACTGAGTAGGGAGCCCCAGGGAAGGTGCTCAATCCCAGGGACCTGGAGATCATGATCACGATGGACCCTGGGATCACGACCAGAGCAGAAGGCAGATGCTTAACCAATTGAACCACCTGGGATGACTGAGCCACCTAGGCATCCCCTAAACAAACCTTTCTTTAACTCTTTGACTTGCAGGTAGTTACAGCTTAGAACAGGTCACCTTAGGCTAAATTCCCCTGGTGACAGGAAGATAAGAGTGCTATCTTCCTTCTTGCTTACTGAGACGGCTCCTAGGCCCTAAGAAAAACATTCCTGCTTGGTTAGACAGTCAAGAGGCCCATTTAGCTGTTAAAAAGATTTATACACCCATCAAAGTGATGAGGGAGAATTTACAAATGGAAGCTTTCTCAAGAGAATGCTCTAGGAAAAGGCAAGGGGGAAAAGTTCTCTGCTTTTTGTCAACAGGGAAAATTCAATCTTATTTTTAGTTACTGTTACACATTTCCTTATTGGCAAAATGGATGTTTGAGGGAAGAATTCACCCATGAAGAAGCAGTAAAGAGGAGGCCAAGACCTATTCATGAGGGTAGGTTGGGAGTTCTAGAAAACCAGGGAGGTGTCATGTTGGTCCTTCTGTGGGCATCTATTTTTCCTCTTGTGGAAAAGCAGAGATGTGGAATTAGGAGTGATATAGACAGAAATACAAGAGAAAAACATCAAGAGAAAGATTCCTGTTAGTGAGAAATTGCCCAGTCACTTGGATGCCACTTTCCTACTCTACTGTCTTTTGTGGGCAGAAGGGAGCCATGAGGTCCTTTTGCTGTATGGGCACTAAGGATCGAGAGGGCATAAACGATAATGACGTAAAACTTAAGCACACACTGATGGCTTACAACCAATTACAGCTGCTCATGGGTGGCATGAAGCCTCTGGGAAACTCTCCCTGTGCCTAGGACTGAGCTCCCTGGGTAGACACAGTGTGTGTGAGGAGGACACTTTCCAAGGGGAGTCATCCCCAGAAAGGGAAAATGAGATATTATCACAGGATTAGGCTCACCTTTTCCATCCCTAGAGATTTGGGGGATCGAACACTTCACCCCTCTGGGCATGGTATGCATTTTACTTTGTCAGCAGGGAAGAGAATTACTTAGATATACTGCGGGTCGCTAAGGAAAATCTTATCTTGTCCTTTCAGGAGAGGTGGGACACATTTACAAAAAGGTCTCAGTAGTTTTAACAGCAGGGCAGACCAGGAGTGAGACCTAACTCAGGACCTCTCTGTTTATGGGAGAATTCTGAGTCTTACTGAGAGGGTCCAGGCATTCAGGGGCTGAGCTGTTCCTTAAGTTTCCCACCTACCCACTTGAAAGTATACGCCACCCACCCACTAAACTCACAATCGTACGATTTAAATATAGTATTGGTCTTTAAAACCAAATTGTTACATTACAATTAAATTTTTCCATTTTCCAGTTTTATGTTTAAAACTTTAGTCTGGTAATTACAGAAAGTCTTATTACAGGACGGAGTTTATAAAATGCTCCAATCACTCCTGTTTAACTCGAAGGGTAAGACCATTTGTTTGGTAAGGCAAAGAACACCGTCAGGTAGTGGTACTCCAGAGGCAATTCCCGCCTTTGCCAATTATACACGTTAGTAACTTTGAGACATGGAGCCCCTGATACTTCCCAGTACTCGGAAACTTTGCTCCAGAATTGTACAAACAAAACTCTTGAAAACCGTTTTGGGATTAATTTCAGATACTTCATGGATCCTTACAAGTATCCCCCCGCCCCCAAAGAGAAAGTCATTTCTGGCATTCCAACCTCTCGCCCTTAGAATATCTCTAAAGCTTGTTTCCCTGATCCATGTCAGGGAGAACTTCCCAAATTTCAGATCAAACTCAGATCCTGCCGGGACGCCAAGCTGGGCAGAAAAAAGGGCGATCAGGCTCCTGATCTTTAACAGTGGTGGGAAGGACACTTTCATCAGTAAAACAGATGCTTTTGTGGAAGCTGCGGATCAGTCTACTCCTGGAAAGAGGGCTGGATTCTCTACATTTTCTATCTGCTATAGTCAGTCTATCTGCTGACTAGGTAAGAATACAAAATACGTGTCATTTGCGGGAACCGTACGAGGCCAGCCGCGCATGCGCGAAGCAGTCCTAAGGCCGAGCGGGAGTTCTCGGTGGGGCGGGGCAATGGAAGACGCGCCCCTCCGGTTCGCCGTGGCTTTAACTCCTTCCCATCCCTCTTAACGAGCTTCTCCGTCTTTCCCTTTGACCTCGGAAAGAAGGGGGCGGGGCCCTTAGGGGCGGAAGTAGCGGTGCATTGTGGGCTCTCTTAGAGTGGTGGAGTTGATCCTGAATGAAAGTGGCGCGCCGCCTCTGACGTTTCCCGGGTAGGAGCTGCTGGGATTCCGACCCCTGCCGGGATTCGGGTGCCTCGGACCCTCAATACCGAGCCGACCGCGAGGAGGCGGCGGCGTTGGCGCGGGGAGCGTTGGTGGAGGGGGCGCCTCTGCGCGGCCCCGAGACATGGCTCATAACAAGATCCCACCACGGTGGCTGAACTGTCCGCGGCGCGGCCAGCCGGTGGCAGGTAACCCGGACGGGGGTGGTGTTCGAGTCCCTGCATATCCGCGGGCCCGTGGGTGGGCCGTGTGAGGGGCTTAGCTTTCGGGGGTTCCGTGCTTGTTAGTGGTATGTCAGGATCGAGATGTGCTCGGTCGGACGAAGCTTCGTGGTTGAGTGTTTGGGAAAGTGATTGGAGGGGATGGGCCGGTGGGTGGGGGCACGTGTCACTCTCCAGGACGACTAAGTATTGCGAACGCGAAAGTAGACAGGAGGTTTAGGTGGCAGGAGCTGGGGACCCAAGAACACAGCGGGCATTACTTTGAAGCTTAGAAGTTTATGAACCTTCCAGGGTTCTCGGATGGGGAAGGGACAAGTGTCAGTCTTGAGATGGAGGGTTCAAGAGGAGAGGGAAGTTTCCCATGGAGGGTTCAAGAGGAGAGGGAAGTTTCCCAGTGCTGAAATGGATCGACACTAACTGGAGTTTGGTTTTTAAGAACGATTTTGTTGTGAATTTTTGCGTAATTGAGTTTGACACACAACAAACTTTAAAGTGCTGTTTGATAAATACCGCATACACAGACACACTTCCAGTGAAACACCCATGAAACCATCACTACAATCAAAACAGTGAACATAACCATCACCTCTCAAAGTTTCGACTGCCCCTTGTAATCCCTTCCTCCTCAGGCAATCTCTTACATGCTTTCTGTCATAGATTAGTTTACATTTTCTATACTTTAAAAAAAATAAATGGAATCATATAGTGCATACACTTGTTTGGGGGGGGGGAGGTCTCTATTCTTTTGCTCAGCATTGTTATTTTGAGATTTATCCAAGTTCTTGTATGTTTGTATGTGCATCCCTTTTTATTGCCGAATAGTAGTCCATTGTTAATGGATGCAGCACATTTGTTTATCCATACACTCGTTGATAGTCATTTGGGTTGTTTGCAGTTTTTGGCTATTACAAATTAACCTGCTATGAACATTCCCGTACAGTAATTTGTATGGACATATGCTTTCATTTCTCTTGTGTCAGTTTCTAGGAGAGGAAAGGATCATATGGTAGGTGTATGTTTAGACTTTAAAAAAAAATGCCGAACTCTTTTTAAAAGCCATAGCATTTTACATTCCCACCATTAATGTCTGAGAGTTCTGTTTAGTTCATATCCTCTCCAAGGCTTGGTATGGTCAGTCTTTTTAATTTTACCCACCATAATAGGTATTTAGTCATATTGTGGTTTGTGGTGTATGTGAGCTTCTTGGCAATTCACATATCTTCTGTGAGATGTCCAGATCTTGTACTGATTTTTTAATTGGGTTTTTATCTTATTGTTGAATTGTTAGACTTCTTTATATATTGTAAATACAAATCCTACATTGGATATATGCTTAAATTTTTTTTTTCTCCCATCTGTGGCTTGCTTTTTCACTTTCTTAACACTGTTTTTGAGGAGTGAACGATTTAAATTTGAACTACGACTTGCTGCTTATTCTAGAAGGTATTTTGCAACAAAAATTAAAGGGTTTTGTAGTGAACTGTGATTACATGTTATGTATATATCTATAGTATGTCTTACTAGTTATTTGAAATTGTTGAAAGAGTGCTTTTTAATTTTTTTAAAAGATTTTTATTTTTTTAATTTTTAAAAAAATTTTTATTTTTTAATTTTTTTATAAACATATAATGTATTATTAGCCCCAGGGGTACAGGTCTGTGAATCGCCAGGTTTACACACTTCACAGCACTCACCATAGCACATGCTATCCTGAATGTCCATAACCCCACCACTCTCTCCTTACCCCCCTCCCGCCGGCCACCCTCAGTTTGTTTTGTGACATTAAGAATCTCTTATGGTTTGTCAAGATTTTTTTTTTTTTTATTCATTTAAGAGAGAGGGAGAGACAGAGACAGAGCACAAGCAGGGGGAGAGGCAAAAGCAGACTCCCTGATGAGCTGGGAGCCGGATGTGGGACTTGATTCCAGAACCTGGAGATCATGACCTGAGCCGAAGGCAAACGCTTAACTGAGCCACCCAGGTGCCCCAAGAGCCCTTTTTAAATTCAGGTTTCCTGATTCTCCTACTTTGTCAGGTGTTTTTTTTTTTTTTTTTTTTTTCCCCACATTTTGAATAAAATCCTTAGTAAGTAGAGCCGTATCAATGATGGCTAAAAATAATACTGAAAGATAACCTAAGCAAGTCTTAGGGTGAGGAAATGTCTTTAATGAAAAATGAAAAAATTTTCTTCACGCTCTAACCATTTTTTAAAAAAGATTTATTAGAGAGAGAGAGAGAACATACAAGCAAGGGGAGGGGCAGAGAATCTCAAGCAGCCTCTGACTCCCTCCTGAATGCAGAGCTTGGTGCAGGACTCAATCTCACCATCCTGAGGTCATGACCTGAGCTTAAATCAAGAGGTGGTTGCTTAAGTGACTCTGCCATCTAGACACTCCTTTTTTTTTTTTTTTTTTAAGAGTTTATTTATTTATTTGACAGAGAGAGAGAGATCACAACTAGGCAGAGAGGCAGGCAGAGAGAGGGGGAAACAGGCTCTCTGCTGAGCAGGGAGCCTGATGCGGCGCTGGATCCCAGGACCCTGAGATCATGACCTGAGCCAAAGGCAGAGGCTTAACCCTAAGAGCCACCCAGGTGCCCCAACTCTAACCGTTTTTATATGCATTTTCACTTGTAATAAAAGCAGTTGTTCTTGGTAATCATTGTACTTATTCAAATTAATTGATCACAGACAGTTCTTTACATTTTTCTTTGTAGGTCGTTTTGACTTTCCCCCTTACCATCTCTAACTTTGTAGTGAATCCTTTCTTTATTACATGTGGTTTTTTTTTTTTTTTAACTAGCTATCTTTTCCTTTTTTTTCTTTTAAGATTTTATTTATTTATTTGACAGAGAGATCACAAGCAGGCAGAGAGGCAGGCAGAGAGAGGAGGAAGCAGGCTCCCTGCTGAGCAGAGAGCCCGATGCGGGGCTCGATCCCAGGACTCTGAGACCATGACCTGAGCCGAAGGCAGCGGCTTAACCCACTGAGCCACCCAGGTGCCCCCTATCTTTTCCTTTTAATATATTTTTCTACCCAATTACTTTCATGTACATCAGTTTGGCCAAAACAATACATGTCCAATCCTGGCTGTAAAGCAATCTGAGAAATCTAGCTCTTTTTTTTTTTTTTTTTAATTTTATTTTTTATACATGTGGTTTTTTTCTATGGAGTTATGGAAAAGCCTCTAGATTTAGATCAGTGGCCTTCTTTTTTTTTAAAGATTGTATTTATTATTTATTTGTCAGAGAGAGAGAGAGAGAGAGCGAGAGCGAGCGCGCTGGCACACAAGCAGGGATTGCAGCAGGCTTCCAGCTGAACAAGAAGTCTGATGTGGGACTCAATCCCAGGACACTGGGATGATGACCTGAGCTGAAGGCAGACACTAAACCAACTGAGCTACCCAGGCATCCCAGATATATGGTTTCTTTTCTAGCTTGGAGCATGTTTCCTGGATTCTTTCATTAGAATTATCTGCTACGCTGATTTGTGAGAAAAACAAGATCATAAAGTTCTTGCCAAAGTGATTATTTTTTTATTTGGAGTTAGAAAAATTGTTTAACTATCAGAGTTCTCATGTAATGTGCAGGCTGGCAGTGACAAAGATCAGACCAGTGACTTACTGTTAAATAGAACAAGTGTGGCGCTGACTTGGGGTAGATAGCAGCAGGTAAGGTGCTGACTTCCAGACAGCTTTATGCCTTTCTCAGAAATAGAGTTGTGTGCCTTTTTTTCTCCCTCTGCTGGGAATTAAGGGCCAGGAATTAAGCTTTTCCTTATTATTGTATTGGAATATTTTGGCTTCCCAAAATTAGACTCTTTTCTTTTTATTTTTTTTAATTTTAATTTTAATTTTTATTTATTTGACACAGAGAGAGAAATCACAAGTAGGCAGAGAGACAGGCAGAGAGAGAGGGGGAAGCAGGCTCCCCACTGAGCAGAAAGCCCCATGTGGGGCTCGATCCCAGGACCCTGAGATCATGACCCGAGTCGAAGGCAGAGGCTTAACCCACTGAGCCACCCAGGCGCCCCCCAAAATTAGACTCTTTAATTATTGTGGTTCAGTGAGATACTAAGCTCATCTATCAGATTAACTATGATCCCTGGACAGAACCCTAGGCCTCCTGACAATTGAGCTGGATTTTTACTAGTAATCAATATTGCTTTGGTTGTGATGCTTATTAGAAAGTACAGTGAACACAATGTATGATTTTTATTTTTTTTAAAGATTTTATTTATTTATTTGACAGACAGAGATTATAAGTAGGCGGAGAGGCGGGCAGAGAAAGAGAGGAGGAAGCAGGCTCCCTACTGAGTAGAGAGCCCGATGTGGGGCTCAATCCCAGGACCTTGCTATCACGACCTGAGCTGAAGGCAGAGGCTTTAAAACCCACTGAGCCACCCAGGCGCCCCACAATGTATGATTCTTGATAAGTTTCTGTAAATTTCCCTTAAAGTTCTGTCTCTGCTTCTCCTAGGAGTGTTCATGCCACATTGTGTATTTTGGAAATGCATGTTAGCAATGTTTTACAGTAGGTGGAGCAAAAAATACTGGTTATATTCTTGCAAGCTTTAGTGAAAAATAAGGAATAATTCACATTCCACTTTCTACCTCTTATTTTCTTTCTTTTTTTTTTTTTAAGATTTTTGAAATTTATTTGACAGAGAGATAGAGATCACAAGTAGGCAGAGAGGCAGGCAGAGAGAGAGGGGGAAGCAGGCTCCCTGCTGGGCAGAGAACCCGATGTGGGGATCAATCCCAGGACCCTGAGATCATGACCTGAGCTGAAGGCAGAGGCTTAAACTCACTAAAGTAATCCATGCTTATTGTATAATTTCCTTAGTATTTGGCATATTTAGGAAAATGTGTTATGGCTGTTTACATTTTTTCAATGTGAACCTTAGGATACATCTCAGTAGTATTAAATGTTCATAATTTTCTTGAATCAGAAAGAAGATGGTACTAATGAGATATATAATCTGTTGCACTATGAAGTTACTTCCTCTGATTAAATCAGACTTCCAATGAGGGAGAGCTCCTGGAGATAGGGCCAAGCTTTATTTTTGAAAAATTCTTTTTTTCACCTTATGAGTGATAGATTTCAGGGTAACACTTTGAAAAAACCAAAATTCTCATTCCTTAAAGGGAGATTATTCAACATAAAATTATCTTGTGCTTACTATGTGTGAAGAACTTACTTGAAACTAACGGTAGGAATGTAATATGAAACACTATTGTGAAGGGGATGGTGACTTTGGAGTCATTTTACCTAGCAAATACTTGAGAGTCTACTTTGTGTTAGTCCTTAGGGCTAAGGAGATGATTTAGACATAGTTTATGGTGTCAGCCATCTGCTATGTGGTGAAAATTTTCTTTGGGAGCTCTGAGCTGTATAGGTTTAGGCCCAAAGAAGTCAGGTGGTTGAGTTTATTGAGGTCTGGTTTTTTCTAGGTTAAGTGTGGCTGAGTGATATGGAGGATCAGGGAGGTTAAGGGTATTTAGTGGGACTGACCGTGGTGATCAGCTGTGGACTCTAACATTGGATAAGGAAAGTGAAGCCTGGAGGAGCTGATGGAAACAGGATTGGGCCTCTGAGACAACAGTGAGAAGGAGAGAGGGTCTAGTGGGAGAATATTCTAACATGTATTACTTACTTAATTATTATGTTTCTTGTTTATGGTTTATCTTTCCTCAGTAGAGTGTAAGCTCTTTGAGGGCAGGGATTTTTTAAAAAGATTTTATTTATTTTTATTTGAGAGAGAGAGAGCGAGAGATAGCACATAAGCAGAGAGGGAGAGGGAGAAGCAGGCTCCCTGCTAAGCAGAGAGCCTGATGCAGGGCTCAATCCCAGGATCCTGGGATCATGACCAGAGCCGAAGGCAGGGGCTTAACTGACTGAGCCATCCAGGTGCCCCTGAGGGCAGGGAATTTTATCTGTTTTTTGTTTTTGTTTTTTTTTTTCTTTTCACTAATGCATTCCATGTACCTAGAACAGTGCTTAGTACATAATAAGTACTCTTTAAATATTTATTAAATAAGCCAAATGTAGTATAATAATTAATGTGAGTTGATGGTAGAGGTGGTGAGAAGTGGTTAGATTCTAGATATGTTTTGAAGATAGATCTGAGAGGATTTGCTGATAGATTGAAAATGGGGTGTGAGATGCAGAAGAATGAAACTGAACCATTTCCTTACACCACACACAAAAACAGACTCAAAATGGATGAAAGACCTTAATGTGAGATAGGAATCCATCAAAATCCTTGAGGAGAACACAGGCAGCAACCTCTTCGACCTCAGCCGAAGCAACTTCTTCCTAGAAACATCGCCAAAGGCAAGGGAAGCAGGGGGAAAAATGGACTATTGGGACTTCATCAAGATCAAAAGCTTTTGCACAGCAAAGGAAACAGTCAACAAAACCAAAAGACAACTGACAGAATGGGAGAAGATATTCGCAAATGACATATCAGTTAAAGGGCTAGTATCCAAAATATATAAAGAACTTATCAAACTCAACAGGCAAAGAATAATCCAATCAAGAAATGGGCAGAGAACGTGAATAGACATTTCTGATGGCCAGCAGACACATGAAAAAATGCTCAACATCACTTAGCATCAGGGAAATATGAATCAAAACCACAATGAAATACTGCCTCACACCAGTCAGAGTGGCTAAAATTAACAAGTCAGGGAAAGACAGATGTTGGAGAGGATGCAGAGACAGGGGAACCCTCCTACACTGTTGGTGGGAATGCAAGCTGGTGCAGCCACTCTGAAAAACAGCATGGAGCTTCCTCAAAAAGCTGAAAATAGAGCTATCTTAAGACCCAGCAATCGCACTACTGGGTATTTACCCTAAAGATACAAATGTAGTGATCCGAAGGGGAACACACACCCAAATGTTTATAGCAGCAATGTCCACAATAGCCAAACTATGGAAAGAACCTAGATGTCCGTCAACAAATGAATGGATAAAGAAGAAGTGGTATAAATATACAATGGAATACTATGCAGCCATCAAAAGAAATGAAATCTTGCCATTTGCAATGATGTGGATGGAACTAGAGGGTATTATGCTGAGCGAAATAAGTCTATCAGAGAAAGACAGTTATCATATGATCTCCCTGATATGAGGAATTTGAGAGGCAGAGTGGAGGGTTTGGGGGGTGGGGAAGGAAAAAATGAAACCAGATGGAATCGGGAGGGAGACAAACCATAAGAGACTCTTAATCTCACAAAACAGAGGGTTGCTGGGGGGAGGGGAGGTGTGGAGAGGGTGGTTGGGATGTGGACATTGGGGAGGGTATGTGCTATGGCGAGTGCTGTGAAATGTGTAAGCCTGATGATTCACAGACCTGTACCCCTGGGGCAAATAATACATTATATTTAATAAAAAATAATAAAAAAAAGAATTTCAGAAGTAAAAAAAAAAAAAAGAAAGAAAATGGGGTATGAGAAAAAGATAGGGGTCAAGGATAATGCCAAAGGGCTTGGCCTGAGCTACTGAAAAAATAGTGTTATAATTTGCTGAGATGAGGAAGACCATGAGAGGAGCACCTTTTAAGTGCTTGAATGTTGAGAGTTCAGGTTCGGAGATCAGGTCTGAGACATCCATTAGACATCAACTACAGACTAAGTCATGTAGGCAGCTTGATATCTGAGCTTAGAGTTCAGGGAGAGGTTTGGACTGGAAATGCACATTATGAGTCAGCAGCACATTCATGGCTTTTAAAGCTCTGTGATGAGATGAGACACCAGGTGAGTGAGTGAATGTTGATAGGAGGTCCAAGGACAGAGCCCTGGGACAAAACATTCAAGGGTCAGGGAGATAAGGAGGAGCCCGTAAAGGAGGTTGAGAGGTAGAGGTCAGAGAAATGGGGTGAAAACCAAGGGGTTGTAGTAGCCAAAAAGCCAAGTAAAAAAGTGATTTAAGAATTAAAAATTAAATTGAATTAAAAAGTGAACTTGAATTAAAAAGTGGGCAGTTCTTTGAGAACTGAGATTGTCTATCAGATTTAGCAATATGGGGGTTATTGGTGATCTTGGGTGGTTTGGTACATAAAATGTAAAACTTTATTTTCTTTTAATGATTTTATTTATCTGAGAGAGAGAGAGGGATGGAGAGGGAGAGGGGGAGAGAGAGGAAGATCATGAGCAGGGGGAGCAATAGAGGGAGAAGCATACTCCCTGCTGAGTAGGGAGCCCGATGTGGGACTCGATCCCAAGTCCCTGGGATCATGACCTGAGCTGAAGGGAGATGCTTAACTGACTGAGCCAAAACATAAAACTTAAAAAAATTATTTTTTATGAAATTTAGGTTAAAGTCTCTGGACAGATGTTAAGGTTTCACTCATGTTGTTTTAGGTAGCTATTTATTCCTACTGATAATTATTGTGTTTTAAGATATAAGTCAGTTAAAATAGTTGATTTTAAAATTGATTATATGAGGTGACTCCTCCTGTGCTTAGATATGATTCAGGGAAAAAAAGGGTCAAAAGGGTCAGTTAGTCTTGTTGAAATTATGATCACCGGTAGTGGTTTTAAGAGTGATTTTGATTAGCATCCTTCTCAGCATTGTCCCTATCCTGGAGTGCAGGATAAAGTGCATAAGTTGGAGAAGGTTCCAACCTCATAGTAGGGTAGTATAATTAGGAATTTTAAGGACTGATTTAATGCACTCCATTATCAGTTTTCTAGTATTATATCTTTAAAAGCTTTAAGGCAATAACTTTTTAAAGTAGTAGTTTAAAACCTTAGTCCTTTTTTAAACAGCAAATTTTTAAAAATTTTAAAATTACTTTTACTTAAAATTTTTTATTAATGAAGTATAGTTGATATACAATGTTTTCGTAGTTTCAGGTGTACAGTGTAGTGATTTGACTGTTTTGTAAATTAGTGCTCACTAGAGTAAATGTAGTTACGATCTGTCACCATACAATGTTATTACAATATTATTGACTCTATCCTATGCTGTACTTTTCATCTCTGTGACATACTTATTTTGTAACTGGAAGTTTGTACCTCTTAATCCACTTTACCTATTTTGTTCATACCTGCTCCCCAACTTAAGGAGGTTTTTTTGGAAGTTCCATTCACTGGTAGTTTTTCTTTTGCTATTCTTTTTTTTTTTTTTCTTTAATACTTATTTTTCTATTTTAGAGAGAGGGAGAGAGAGTGCACGCGTGCTCTGGGGAGGAGCAGAAGGGGAGAGAGAAGGAGGGGGGAAAGAATCTCAAGCAGATTCCCTGCTGAGCTTGGAGCCCCATGTGGGTTTCGATCCTATGACCCCTGAGCTGAAACCAAGAGTTGGATGCTCACCTGACTGAGCCACCCAGCAGCTCCTTTCTTTTGCTATTCTATTTGATTGTCAATTTCTGGAACTTATGTTGTCCTTAAAAAATTCTAAGGTGGTACCTTTTAAAAGTGTAGTTTAGATTAAGAATACTTCATGAACAGTTCCATTTAAAATGTTTTAAGAAAGTGATTTTGAGAATAGCTAATTATAGTTTCAACATGGAACATTTTCTTTAATGAAAATTGTTACCCATCTTAATGTTGTTTAGGAAGATTCTTACCTCTGAAGACAATGTTAGGACCAAGATATGATAGTCAAGTTGCTGAAGAAAATCGGTTCCATCCCAGTATGCTCTCAAATTATCTAAAGAGTCTGAAGGTAAGAAACAAAACATTTTTTATATTGTTTTAGTATGTTTTATCCCTCTCTTGTTCTTCAGGTGGCTTTAAAAAAAACTTCTTATTTTGAAATAATTTATTGACCAAAAGGAAGTTGCAGAAATTTTGCATAGAATTCTGTGAACCTGCCTCCCAGCTTTTCCTAATGGTGTTCCCAATGGTGACATCTTATATAATTGTAGTACAATATCAAAGCAGGAAATTGACATTTGTACAGTACTTTTGAATTGATTACAGACCTTGTTTAGTTTTTACCAGTTTTTATATTCATTTGTGTGTATGTGTGTATAGTTCTCTGCAGTTTGATCCAATGTATAGATTTGTGGTATTAGTTACAGAACTTTTTCATCTCCACAAAGGAACTCTCTCTCATGCTACCCCCTTATAGTCAGATTCTACCCACCCCCCCATTCCTGTACACTGACACCTACTAATCTCCTTTCCATCTCTGTAGCTTTGTCATTTTGAGAATGTTATATAAATGGATTAAAACAGTATGTGGCCTTTTGGGATTGGCTTTTTTCACTAAGCATAATGCCCTTGAGGTCCATCCAAGTTGTATGTTTCAACAAAAAGTTTGTTCTTTTTAATTGTCGAATATTATTCACTTGTTTAGATGTATCAGAGTTTATTAAACTCTTCTCCCACTGAATGCTTAAATAACCATTTTAACCAATTTGAGTTATTTGCAGTTGTGGGGTATTGCGCACAAAGTTATGTGAACATTCATGTATAGTTTCCAGTTTCTGGGATAAATATTTAGAGTATGATGGCTGTGTGCATACCTAATTTTACAAGAAAGGGCCAAACTTTTTTCCTAAATGAAACTTCATTATTTTTTTTTTTTTTAAAGATTTATTTATTTATTTATTTGACAGACAGATCACAAGTAGGCAGAGAGGCAGGCAGAGAGAGAGAGAGGGAAGCAGGCTCCCTGCTGAGCAGAGAGCCCGATGTGGGGCTCGATCCCAGGACCCTGGGATCATGACCCGAGCCGAAGGCAGAGGCTTTAACCCACTGAGCCACCCAGGTGCCCCAACTTCATTATTTTTTATATTATTCTGACATAATACTGATTAAATTAGCTTCCTAGGGCTCTTGTAACAAATTACCACAAACTGGGTGACTTAAAACAGACATTTATTCTCTCACAGTTCTGGACACTGGAAGTTCTAAATCAAGGTGCAGGAAAGTTTGATTCCTTTTGGAGGCTTGGAGAGAGAATCTTTTCCATTTACTCTTTTCTGCTAGCTTCTGGTTAATCCTTGGCATTCCTTGGCTTGTAGCTCTGTGGGTCATCGCTCTTGTTGACATCTCCCTGTGTGTGTCTGTCCAAATTTCTGTTTTTTAAGGGCTCCCTAATCCAGTGTGATCTCATCTTAACTTGATTATATTTATAAAGACCCTATAGCCCTATTTCCCAATAATATCACTTTCACAGGTACTAGGAGTTAGGACTAGAACATATTTTTTTAGGGGACATAATTCAACTTGTTACTGTTTGTACTCTTCTGTTTTAGTACATTCATCCAATATTGCTACTCATTACGTGCAAGGGTTTCTATTGTGGGATAGAAAAATTGTCACTTAGATTTTGAAAACCATATTTTGACATATGAGATTTACTTTATCTTGAAAACCATATTTTGATGTATGAGATTTGAAATATGAGGTATTTGAGATTTACTCATCCCTTTTCTTGGTATAGTTTTTTGAGTCTTTGTTTATATTTTTTGTAAACTTTTAACTTTTATTTTCATTATCAATAATGACTTTGAAAGTCTTAGTTAACATTTATAGAGCATTAAATATTTCCTGGTTGGTATGGTAAGAGTTTGGGCTTAGAAGCCACATCCTGGTTTTGATTTCGTTTGCCACTTACAGCTCTGTGGGCAAGTTACATAATCTCTTTCTGATTCAGTTTCCTCATCTGTAAATAAAATTAGTGCATATAAAGCTTATAGTATAGTGCTTGGCACAGAGCAGTGCCTTTATTGAATTGCACAATAACTCCATGAAGTAGATACTCTTATTATCCTTACTTCATGGGTTGGACTATTATGAAAAATAAATATGTATATGTATGTGTATATGTGTATGCAGATACATTCACACACAAACACATTATCCATACAGGCACACAACACACAAGCACATACATACATACTTATATATGGGGCTCCAGGCAGTTAAGTCATACAGTACAGTTTCTCCATTTCCTTGGCTGAAGTGTTTCTATGTATTTAGAAAACTCGTATTTTCTTGTCCATCTCCACTTTTGATCCATATCTTATTTTGGATCCGGATACAAACAACATGGGTTCTAATTCTAACTCTCTGAGAAGCTGTATTAATGAGATCTAACTCTGTGTTTGACAATACATGTTCTCTGAAGGAATTAAGATCACTGCAGAAGCTGTGTGGGAAGAGAAGTAGGCCCAGGGGTGGCAGATTGTAGAAAATGCGTTAAGAAATACATTTCCTGTAAGAGCTCACGTGATGCGTAGACCTAGCTCTCATCCGCACTTAAACTAAGGAATCTGGAGAAATTAGTGGAACACATGTGGTAGCTAGTTAATATTTTGGAAACAAACAATTTTTTTTTTTTTTAAAGATTTTATTTATTTATTTGTCAGAGAGAGAGAGAGAGGGAGAGAGAGCAAGCACAGGCAGACAGAATGGCAGGCAGAGGCAGAGGGAGAAGCAGGCTCCCTGACGAGCAAGGAGCCCGATGTGGGACTCGATCCCAGGACGCTGGGATCATGACCTGAGCCGAAGGCAGCTGCTCATCCAACTGAGCCACCCAGGCGTCCTGGAAACAAACAATTTTGTTAGTTTTGTCAGTTTTGTTGTGCGTGAAATATAAATATCTTTGCCATCCCCCCCACCCCCAACAGTGGAGTCAAATCATTATATAACCCAGTCTCCTTCAGGCACATCCAACACTAGGTACTCAGTAAAAGTGATAATAAAAGAGAGACAAATAACAATTTTAAAAGTGCTGATTGTTTCCCTTGTCATTCTTCCCAGAGAATATGTGCTTCAGACTGGGGCAGAGGATGTGTGAGTTAACTGTTCTTTTACGTGGCTCAGTTCCAGTGTGCGTATCTTAGTGAGACTCTCTTATTAGTCTGAATGTGATTCTAGTTGTTAAGGATTTTTTAAGCCACTCAGTCCCTGATCACAAGCCAACTACATAAGTTAATGCTCAACAGAAGAAATAATGATTTTTGTTCCAATGCAGGAAGAAAAACTGGCTGACAGATGGGATTAAATCTTCAGTGAGATGCACAGTTATGGCCTTGTGTACTGTTTTTTACTGATGATTTAAGGGATTTATAAGAAAATTTTGACTGTACATACTTTTTGCCTTATATAATACACGTTAGAATTTTACTGCCTAGCATGTGGTATAGTGATAGCTGCTTGGAATGCTGGGTTGATGTGTGCTTGGGGGTTGGGGTGTATTTCACATACATGCTATTCTTGCTGTATCCTCTTGTCTAATGAATTATAGGTTGGGGGGGAAGACTTAGAAAACTGCATCCATGTCTGCATTTTTAGGTAGACTTCTGTGATGTTGAAGTGGACTGCGTTTTGCTTATGTTCTAGTTCTCTCACCAGTTTGAGGTTTAATTTATTGCATTTAGTGCCTTCTAAGTTCTAGTACCTTGAATAAGACTTGAGTAAGTGATGATTTTGTTATCAGTAGTTCATTAGTAGAGTGAACATAAAATCTCCCTCAATGTAGATGGATGAACTGGAGTATTGCCATTTAATCAGTTTGTTTTGGAACAAATTCAGTTACTAGTAAATCTGCTTTTTTCTCTTTTTCTTCTCTCTCTCTTTTTTTAAGGTTAAAATGGGCTTGTTAGTGGATTTGACAAATACTTCGAGGTTCTATGACAGAAATGACATAGAAAAAGAAGGAATCAAATATATAAAACTTCAATGTAAAGGGTAAGTCATGTATTAAGATTCTTTAATATTGAAACCTTTTGCTGAAATTTGCAATTTCTTCTTAAAAAAAAATGTTTCCATATTACTAGACACGGCGAGTGCCCTACAACTGAGAATACTGAGACATTCATTCGTCTCTGTGAGCGGTTTAATGAAAGAAACCCACCTGAACTTATAGGTATGTCTGGCTTTACTTTACCACTGTTTAAATATTTTATTTTGTGTTTGGGTTTCCATTTTCTTTTTAGCAAGTGATGTGATACGAAGTTTTTTTTTTTTTTTTTTTCCTTTTTAAAGTAATCACTAAGAAAAGTGATTAAAGTAATTAGAGTAATAGACCTAACTTTTGTGAACAATGAAATGTATTTTTATAATTTTTATATTTTTCAAGATAAAGCCCTAATTGCCCCTCTTCACGTATACCACTGGGAAGCTTTACTTTAAACACTTCATATTTTTTTTTTTTTATAATTTTGCATTTTATACCATACGTATTGTAAAACTATTTTCACTCAGTATTATATTTCTGAGAGTGACCCATGATGATGTATGTAACTGTGGTTCATTTTTTGCTATTATAGTATTCCATCACGAATACCCTCTAGTTTATCCATTCTCCTGTTGATGGACAACTGTTTCAGGAGACATTTATTAATTGCTACTCCTTGCAAGGTGCAGGCTCTTGGAACACATCGTGGAGAAAACAGAAAAAAAATCTCTACTCTCCTGGAGCTTATATTTTAGTGTGGACTAGAAGTAGGGGGAAGGGGATGTGGGAGGAAGGCAGGCAATAAACAATAAATATACTAAATAGGTAAAATAAAAAAACCTGACAGTTACTTAAGATGACATTTTGCTTGTTTTCCATTTGTTTTTTCTATTATAAACAGTGCTACTAGGACTGGTCTAGAATTTTTAAGGTTTGAATTTTAGCTTTGATTCTTTGTTCTTTCTGATATTTATATTGACATATGGTTTGAATTGAGGACCTAATTTAAATGTTTTCTGTATAACCAACCATTTGTTCTAGCATAGCTTATTGAATAGTTTTTTCTTTTGTGATTTCTTCTTTAAGTTTTAAGCAGTTAATATTTTCCATATTCAGAGAATTAACTGGAAAACTATTAGGTATAGTAAGAAAATTCAGGGGATATATTTGAACAAAGATAAAAAAGAAAACATCAGCACCTTTCTTGTAAATAAACAGTAAATAGGAAGTAAGAGGATGGTCTTATTAATCTATTTTTTTTTTTTAAGATTTTTTATTTATTTATTTGACAGACAGAGATCACAAGTAGGCAGAAAGGCAGGCAGAGAGAGAGGAGGGGAAGCAGGCTCCCTGCTGAGGAGAGAGCCCGACGTGGGGCTCGATCCCAGGACCCCGAGATCATGACCTGAGCCGAAGGCAGGGGCTTAACCCACTGAGCCACCTAGGCGCCCTGGTCTTATTAATCTTAATGATGATACTGGTTAACATTTATGGAGCATTTCCTCTGTACTAGTCACTCTGTAAACCATTTTACATTCATTATCTCATTTCATTCTTTTTTTTAAAAATTTTTTTTATCTCATTTCATTCTTAAAACAATCCTCTTATGTAGACTTTATTGCTGCCCCCATTTTATGATGAGAAACTGAAGCTTGGAAAGATTAAGTGACTTGCTCAACGTCATTCACACAGCTTGTAATGGTTAAAGTTTAGATCCTATCCTAAGCAATCTTATTTGTAAGTTCACACTCTAAGCCACTTTTCTTTTCTGTAGCAGAAGTACAAGATACCAAGGAATAAAGTTTATTAAGAAGTATAGGAGGTCTTTTTGAAGAAAATGTACTTGGATATTGAAAGATTTGAAGAAAGGGGAGATATTTATTCCCAAATTAATTTCAATCTTTAGTGTGATTCTAAGCAAAACCCCAGTGAGACTTTGGAAGAGTTATTATGAAGTTAATTTATTTTATTTGTAAAATTTACTGCCTCCACATACTTCAACATATATTGAACACAGAAAAAAATTGGCAAATGAAACAGGTGATATTATCAGTAAGAAAGTTTTGAAAACCAGAAATAATGAGGGGATTGTCCTTACCAGTTATTAAAGCATAGAGTATAGTAATGGAAACAACAGTAGTTTTCTGGTGATAGAGGAGATTTTTTCCAAATCGTAGCAGAAAGATCTGATTATTTAATAAACATTAGCCCCCTATTTAATAACATGTATTTTAGATGGATTAAATATTTTTAAAAGGACCCATAAGCATATAGGAGAAAATATAGGTCAGTATTTATTTAATTCTGGAGTGAGCTAGGATATTTCAGTTACATTACCAAAGGCGGAATCCATAAATATTTCTTTAAGAGTATCCTGGACTGCTTGCATCAGAATGACCCGAGGATGCTTATTAGAAATGTTTGTTTTAGGGCCTCATCCTGGACCTATATAATCAAAAACTCTGGGGTTGAAGCCTAGAAATCCAGTATTTTTTTTTTTTTTTTCTTTTTTAAACAAGGATCTTAGGTGACCTTTTACGCACACTTAAATTTGAGAGCTGCTATCAAAAATTAAAATGTGTTCTCTATCAGTGATAATTGTTCCTGCTGTTATTAATGAGTGCTTTTTCTTTGCCTGGGAGACATGATGGGAAACGATGAATGAAGAAATGAGTGAATATAATCCTCATAACAACTGTATAGTATGGGGTGTTATCCCCCTTTTACAGATAAGAAAACTAAGTCTCAGAGAAATTAGTTTGCCCATGGTCACACATCTAATAACTATTTAAGCCAGGTTTTCAATCCAGTTTCTGACTTCAAAGTTCAGATCTCTAAGTTGTTGCTTCCTTGGTGTCTAGATTAACTCATGAAAATGTAAAAGAATTTCTGTACTATAAAACATAACAAACAGAGCAAAAGGATTATTTGATATTTGGACAAATATTTGAAGCATATGACAGATTAAATATATATACAAAGAGGGGCACCTGGGTGGCTCAGTTGGTTAGCGTCTCTTAATTTCAGCTCAGGTCATAATCTTGGGGCTGTGAGATCGAGCCCTGCGTCTGGTTCAGCACTCAGCAAGGAGTCTACTTGTCTCTCTCCCTCCCCCTGCTTGCTCCCTTTTTCTCTCTCTTAAATCTATCAATAAATAAAATAATAAAAAATATATGTACAAAGAGATTTTATAATCCAACTGGTAAAATATGAAATACAATGAAAATGCAACTTATAAAAAATATATAAGAAATATATAAAAAGTAAAATATAAATAACCAAGAAACGTGAAAACAATTTTTCATTTGTTAATTAGAGATGCAGTTAAAATATAGTTGTTATTTCCCCCTTCAAATTGGAAAGATTTAAAGAATTATAATTTCAAGGATTGGATACATTGGGTGCACTCATACATTGTTAATTAGAGTGTTAATTAGTACTACTTCTCTGGAGGGACAATATGGTGATATTTTTCAAGGTCTTCATAAGTGTTTATATACTTTGACTTATGAAGACTACATCTAAGAATTCATTTTAAGGAAGTAGAGATGGACATAAAGATTTATGTGGAAGGAATTTCAGCACAGCTTCACTTGTCATAAAAACCGGGAACAGTTTACATATCTGATAAAGCAGGTCATTTATAGAGTATGCAACTATATTTAACAGAAGAACAATAACAAAGGAATATATGCCATACAGTATTGTGATGTGTATGTGTGTATGTATTTATACATTCACAACAATATATGTAACAAGTACACGCATATATGCATATATTTAGGTGTGCAGCGAAAATATATGCAGCCTAAACTAGCATTGTGGCCTTTATTTGAGTGACAGCTGTTTTCTCATTTGAGAGAAATCATTGTAGGGGTAGATGCTAAATGTATTTGAAGAATTCAGAGGAGGGCAATAAGTCTTAACATTCAGGAACAGATGTCATGATTTTAGAAAGATTAACATTCCCAGGTTTAGGAAAAGAAGTTGACCCTTGTTATAAATTGTCCAGTTGTATTGTTGGAGTTATTTTTATATAGTTGATGTATTTAAATCAGTTGCAGTCAACATTTATTCTTAATGTCCAAATTGCTCCAATTTGGAGCAGTGGGAGCAATGGGAGTCCCTTCAAGTTGGTTTGATATCACCCATTAGGCTTTGATGGTTTCCTTGTTTTCTGGCACATGATGTTTTCCAGACCTGGGAATCCGTTATTTCTCTAAGGAGATTGGTTCCTTTTAGTGGTTTCTATTTAGAAAATAATATTTAGAGATAACCTAGGTGTTAGAGACCATTCCATAATTAAACACATTAGCATTTCTGCAGTTAAACATATGAATATTCATTTATACTAAGTGGGAAAAATAGACTATAAATAAATGCCACATTAGTTCAGGTCAGGTTTTGTCCTCAAATTATTTACCAAGAACCTTAATCTTTTTAGAGCATTTAAAAAAATTATAATTACAAGTAAGAGATTATGGAACTATAGTGCATTTGTTTGCATGTGCCAAAGTAACTGTCTTGAGAATAAGAATTTTGTGGGGGCGGCTGGGTGGCTGAGTGGGTTAACACTCTGCCTTCGGCTCAGGTCATGGTCTCAGGGTCCTGGGATCAAGCCCTGCATTGGGCTCTCTGCTCAGCGGGGAGCCTGCTTCCCCCTCTCTCTCTGCCTACTTGTGATTTCTGTCAAATAAATAAATAAAATAAAAATAAATAAATAAACAAATAAACATAATAATAAATAATAAATAAATATAAAATAATAAATATAAATATAAATAAATGTAAAAATAATAAAAATAAAATCTTTAAAAACAGAATTTTATGGACTGGAGAAGTTAAAAAAAATCTATGTTAAAAGAGAAACAGCTGATTTCTTGGTAAATGATAGACTATATAATAGATATATAACTGATGCCTCTAGTTAATTTGGGTGTTTCCAATTATAAATATTGTAACTGATTTGTGACTATGTATTTTCATGAGTAGCATATGTTATTTTGGTAAAAAACTTTTTTTTGGTTTAATAAAAATATTTAAGATAACTTGGCATATAATAAGTTCTTAATAATAGTTAGTTTCCTTTTTCTGTTCTTATTTTTGTTCCTTTAGTCCAGGGTGTTTCAACCTCAGTACTATTGACATGCTTCAACTAAGCTTTTATAAATCACCTCTTCCTAGTTTCT